TCTGCCCTGGTGATACCAGGTGGTTTTTTTTTCATGAAAAGACAAAAAAGTTGCTAAAATTCTGAGCAAAATCATCGGGATTGGTTATGCTGTAAGACATCATTACTATCTTCTTCCACTGAGCTGATAACTCAGGTGCTTACTGCTGAGTGTGGCTCTTTTGCTGATGTTTTTATTCACTCTTAACTGTTCCAAAATAGCCTTAAGCAAGGTGCTTGGAAGGTGACCTGTGGGAGGTTTGGTAGGAGGATTATTCATGTCTGACCTCCAGCCCTTAGCAGTGACAGTCTCTGCTGCTCTGCTGTGGCTGGGAGCAGAACTCCAGACCTGGAGCTGCTCGTGATGCTCAGCACATCTCCAGTCCCACTGACTTCACCTGTGCTACACCTCAGGTCAGCTGTGTTTGAATCCTTTCTGGGGCGAGGACATCACTGACTGCGCTGTCTGTGTGCTTCAGCCAAGCAAGGAAAAACATTTAAGTCAGAGGTTGCAAAGAATTTCCCTGCTGCAGAGTTCTGGACAGAAATAAATCATCTCTGCTTGTCTGGACAAGGTCTCTGCTGCACAAAAGATCCAGTGGAGTTTTGATTTTTGCCCTGTTTATTTTGCTAGAGCTGGGTATGTATTCCTGGGCTTTTTCTTAGCCCAAGCTCTGCACCTCCAGAGAGTTCTGGACTATGCTGGCTGATCCTTGCAGGGCAAAATTTGGAGTGGGCTTGATCGATGCTGGACAGGATGTGTAGGATCTTCTTCAGCTCATGTCACCTCTTCCAGCAGCCCAGGAGCAGCAGATTTCCAGGAGAAATCAGAGCCAGTTGCTCATGCCTTCAGTGCAGCTCCACACAGTGCCTGTGCTACAGGGTCAGCAGCACAGACCCCTCCAGAAGGACCCTCCAGCCTGGGCTGTCAGCTGCACTCCAGGAGTGACCAGGGATCACAGACAGCTTCTCTTGCTTTTGGATGACATCTGTTCAAATGATACCCAGCATTAAACTCAACAGCAGCTGATTTTTTGTAACACAGCAGCAGCACAAGAGGTGCTGATATTAAAATCTGAGTGATAGCATGTAGGATCTGGAGTTAACACAGCCTGAGGTATCCCATCTCCAGGTGCTGCTGGTCAAAGCCCCAGCAGCCTCACGTGACAGTGACACAGCTGGCACTGCAAAGCTGCTCTTCTGAGCCAGGGCAGGTGAGAAAAACTTGGGGTTTGTTTGGGTTGTTTTGTTTGTTTTAAACACAAAACTTCATCATCTCAAACGCGATTGTCAGAACAAGGCAGAGATTCTGCAGAACAACACAGCTCCTTGCTTGCCCCCCAGGCACTGAGATGGGAGATGTTGGTTCTTCCAGCAGGCTGACTTTTTATTGTAGAAAGAGTTTCTGACAGAAACAGGCAAGAAAACAGGAAAAGAATATATCCTTGAACAAGCTCTGAGTAACGCCTGAGAATGAAAATGTCCAGACAGTGCAGCGTGCAGACTGCAGACCCAGCACAGGTATCTGCTGCCTTTCAAGCTCCTGTTGGGGTGGCAGAGACAAAAATGAGGTCTGAAAGGTGATGAAGGCAGTATAAAGCCTAGAGGAGGCTGTTTAAACAACAAAGGGCAGGAAGGAAGAAGAAAGTGATTACCCTGGGCCAGAAAATAAAAGATCGATGAGGGTGGTGCATCAGCAAGGTGATACTTACTGAAAGTGATCAGAAATTTTTTGAAAAACCTTTTTTTTTGGGCCAAAAAATGCTGATTTATCAAAACAAAAGATAATTCCTAAACCAGCACATTCTTATACATTTCTGCTACATTAAAAACAACCAGAAAGAACTTTTGGAAACTGAAATTTCTCATTTTGTTTTTATAAAAAAAGAGTGGTTTAGGTTTTTTGAAGAGGTGGAGCATTGCACTGTCAGACAACTTGGACCACTTTTCAAAGGTCAGAATCAAGCCAGGGCATGTCAAGGTGGTAACAACTGTTCCACCAAACTTTGTGCTTGGTGATTTTATCTGGCACAGGTTGCTCAGAGAAGCTGTGGCTGCCCCATCCCTGGCAGTGTTCAAGGCTGGGTTGGATGGGGCTTGGAGCAATCTGGGAAAGTGGGTGTCTCTGCCCGTGGCAAGGGGGGGTCAGAACCAGATGGTCCTTAAGGTCCCACCCCAAACACTTGTATCGTTCTATGATCTCTCCAGTATCATGCAGCTCAACATGCAGCCAGAATAGCCAGCAGGCCTTCTGTCTTGAAGAACTCCATGGTCACATGTGACCAACTCACATTTCCCCAGGAGCAGCTCAGTGAGCCTTTCTGTCACAGGCCCTTACTGGATGGGATATGGACTCATTTCTGAGTCTAGGTTAGCTTACTTTCATTTTTTGGCCCTTACTCTAAGATACTTCAAAAAGGATAAACTCCTTGTGCATTCATATGAGACACACTGCCTCCCCTTCCCAGCCCCAAACCACGGCAGGGATACCCAGGATACACTCACCTGGCTGCCAGAGGGAGCCCCATACCAGCTACTGAGATGGGACAAAATGCTGCAGCTGTGTTTAATTTCTGCTGATTTGTAGCTGATGCTTTAATTCTTAGGCAACACAAGCAAGTTTATGTAACCTCTGTAGCACTTATCTGATATTTAATTAAAGTATAATAGCACTCTAGTTACTTAACACACAAACAAGACCTAATGAAATAGAGAAGGCATAATTTGCAGCTGAACTAAAAATTTCACTGAGTAAAACTGAGTAAAGCTTTTATGTGTTTTTGGGTGGCAATGCATTATTTATAGGAATTACCATATGTTCTTTGAATTCTGTGTCTGAAAGTTAACCAGAGCAAGGCTGGAAGCATCACCACAATCTACAGACTCTTACCACACAGACAGGCACGAGGACTGTGGCTTTATTGGATATGCAATTATTCTGTCCCCATTTGCAGCCCATGAAGGCAGAGCATTACCACTGCTAAATGTAAGGATTTTAGCACAGGGAAACGACTCCAAACTGTGCAAGGGGCAACTCCTGTGGTATTTCACTGCCCAGAGAAATCATCATCTATCCATAGCAGACCTTCTTGGCCTTTTAGCTGAAAGAGCCCACTATCACCCACAGCCCTCACCTGTTTCCAAGACAGGACCCCCAATAAGCTCTCACACATATGCTTTGTTCAATTAGTCCAGCGTGTAATGCTTTGTTCTCATGAATTTTGGAGCTACTCTGATGTGCAGTAAAGGCAATTGAGACCTAATTTCATTATTCATCTCAATATGTTCCTGCTGCATTCAGAGAACAGACTATGGGCCCTCCTGTGGCTAATTTAGCACCTGCAAATCCCCATGATTAAAGGCAAAGGCTGCACAAGCCACAGGATGGATCTGCAGGAATAGGCACATGTCAAATCATCCTGCTTGCTGGGAAGAATATTTTGGCTTTTTTTTCCATTTATAAACTTTGGACACCTGTTCCTGACTCAAAAGGGGACCATCATGCTTGAGTTCTGCAAGACCAGGCTGCTTCCTACACCTTTTTATATATATACACATATACAATAGATATATTTAATTCCTTTTCACAAAACCTGAGTGCAGTTTCAGGGAAATCAGTGGACCTGGAGAATGTGGGCCATCAGACTGGAGCTGTTAACACTTGCCTCCTCAACTGCTACATTGAAGTTCAACAGACACAGGCTATTTAAGCTAAAATAGTTAAGAAATTTCTTAATAGTTAAAGAAATTTAATAGTTAAGAAGCTTTCTTCAGCTAAGTCAACTGAAAAGTGACCAAAAAGTCATTCTACTGTTTCCATTGAAAATGCAGCAACTCCCAGAAGTCCAAAATAGACACTTAAATGCAGTAAAATTGAAGACTTTTGGTCTAAATTTGCAAGCTGCTATTAGACTTGCTTAGCCTTAGCAGCTCATTCTTAGCTTGCACTTTGAAGATGCCTCACACTTCAGTAATCACTGCTGCAGACAACCAAACCACAACAGGAATTTCCTTGCTTACCCTGCCCCCTCGTATTTTGTTTCAGATTATGAATTTCAGCATTTTGGAAGACAATGGCAGAAAGATTCTGTACTTTAAGCCACAAAACCACAACACACTTACTCTGCTTTCCTGTTACAATAGCAAGGCTGTTTTTCTTCCACTGTACAGCCCATGCCCAAGCTGATCTTGCCAAGTTCAGTTTAGGAATTTCTTTTTTTTTTTTTTTTTTTTTTTTTTTTTTTTTTGACCACTCCATATGCATGACTGAATATTTGTTATGCAACCATAACAACTGTCCTTTTCAAGAAAGATTCCTGCATAATGTGACCACAGAGAATTCAAAGCAAACATGGTTTGATCTTAAAACTTTAATAGTAAAAAAAGTGTAAAACCAAACACACCGCTGAAAACTTATCAGTAAGAATGAGAATTTAAGTGTTCAAATTCAGAATAGTGCAAATTTTCTTCACTCCCCTCCCCACCTCTTCCAAACTTAAATCACTTTGGTTAAGATACTCAGAAGTATTGGCAAAAAATGAACTTTTGACTTACATTTTTGGCTGCATTATTTCTAACAGGTACAGATTTAGTTTCAGTCTTCACAAATAAATCTTAAATATTTTACTATCAAATATCCATAGAGATCACTGCCAGCTTTACTTACATCTGCTTTCATCACATTTCAAAATGGGTTTCAAGATGGTTACAAAGCTGCATCTCCAGCAAGGCAGCAGCTTCTTAAACAGCTGAGCTGAACCCATCCCGACCTCTTCAAGTAGTTCTATAAAATTTGATTATTTCTGTTTTGAACATTTGAGGAAGGATCTTATACCAATCAAATTACACTTGATTTACACCAAAGCAAGGTTAGAATTGGGGTCTGCTCTGCAGTATACTACAAACTTTGTGCTAAAGTTTTGTTGCTAGCATTCCCTTAGAAGGGTGAAAACAGCCAGAACAGAGACCTGGCCTGAACCTCTGTTTTGATGGTTGAACCTTTAACTGACAACAACAAAAAAATGCATAATACAAAAAGGCAAGTCCATAAAAGTTTACAAGTACACCATAACCACAAAATTGGAGTATTTCTAAAAATTTGGGTTCAATGTAAGATACAACAAAACTAGCTTTACTAGTTAAATAAATTATTGCTCCATTTGACTCCATGCAGCATTGAAATGAACTCAGAACCCTTTTCTCTTTAATCTCTCATAAGAAATGATCGATATTGAAGAGAACTTGAGGCTCAGACTTACTGTACATTGCACTTCAACTTTTAAGACCTAATACTTGCTATTTAGGTCTCCTGTGGTCTAAGCTATCAAATGAATACGTTGTGCTCACCAAAACTATGTATTAAGAAACACCAAATGCTTAATGTAGTGACATAAGCACTTTTTGTTTTTAAGAAGGCAATCACAGATTGCAAGTTCTATAGGGTTGTTTAAAAACAAGAGGTGATCTCTTTCAGAAACTGAACTGAGAAAACAAGCTGTTTGCTATTCTTCACATACAGTTTAAATCACATTTGAGGCCCAATTCTGTTTCTAATCATTTCAATCCAAACCTGGATTCAAATGATAGCTTTAGGAGGAAATAACACATCTAAGAAGTTGGGGGCACGTGCTTGATGGCCAAGCAATGACATGCAATGCATGTTTTTTCACTGACACCAGATATTTGAGATACACTGAAGCAGGTGTCTAAGGTGTGAAGCAGGGGTAGTTACACACACACTTAGATTTCTTACTGAATTGTGGCCAGAACTTGATTCTTGCAAATCTAACTTCAAGCCTCCGGAGTAATGAAATTTCCAGTTGGAATCTCTTGATAAAGGTTCACGTTTGAACAAGATTGTCTCCACTGTTCACTTCTCGTACTGAAGCAATTTAGAAATTCCAAAGGAAGGCTTCCAACCTCTCATCCCTCAAAGCCTCTCCACCGTCAAAGACAGAAACTTAATGCAGCATTACAAGTAAGGGCATGATTCCTTCATAAGACTCCTAAAAGCATTAGTGCAATGCCTTTAATCTGTTTTGATCACTCTTATTTTTAAATAACCCTATTTTTTAAAGATTTGGATAAATACTATTCCTATTAAACCATACTTCATCATTGTTAAGCACCATCGATCTACTTCCTTTGGGCACTGATACAAGAGCTTGTAATTAAATTTCAGTTTCAAGGCTTTAAAACACGGCAGCTGATTCAATAACTTACAGTGGAATCTAATACTTGGAAAACTGCCACTTAGCCTGAACAGTTGTGTGCACTTGGTGTTAAACTCTTCCAGAGAACAGCCATACGCAAATGCTTATGCGGTAAATCAGGGTAAGATTTCAAGATAAGCAGTTAATTTCACTTGGCTATTCTAAGAGTGGATTAATATTTTTTTTCCCACAAGTCATTTGTGCAGTGAGCCCATAAAGAGATTATTTCTTCTAAATAATCTTCAGTTTTAAAAAGGAACACATCTTCATAATGTTGCTTTCACACTGGCACCGGGTGTTCTTCTTCAAAGGCTTAGTCATTGTGTGGTTTCTCTGGAATACCCTATGGAGAAAAAACATCAAATACATGTTAGGTTTTAATGCCATCTGATAAGTGACTACATTATGCAGTATTTTCAATTATTAAATAGTCAAGTAACTCCAGTTAGGCTGACAATGACCTAGCGAGCACGGCTTCTTATAAAAGCTTAATGAGGACGTGCTCCCTTACTGTGGACAAAAAAAACAACAAAACACTATGGGTGTTTGTTGACTCAATCAGTGCATCTGAAAAGTCCATCTGCCAATTGCACTGCTTTTTATAAGACTTTGTTATCTTTCTATCTCAGTTTATTTCTTAACAGAAGGTAGCCAATGCTTCACTTAATGGACATTAATTCAGTTTTAACAGCCCTTTTTCAAACTGCCTTTAACCACAAGTTACTTTATTTTCCAGTCAAAGCCTGGTATCAGAATCTTACTCATTTCTTCCTAAGTCCCTTTTCTAGTATGGAACCCTGGCATGTGTCACTATAAGATATTTCAGCAATTTTTCTTTGAAACAAAGCTTGTAACATACTCTCTTTTTAAGGTCAAAACACAAATACATTTTCAAGTAGTGAATGTATTCTCAGTTCTCTAGCACTAGTACACAATAGATATTTGTGAAGCCCAAGGTCTGAATACCACCCTAATTTGTCAGATGCTGGGAATGATGGTTGTAACTCCAAATGAAGTGTTGCCACCCACTTAACCCAGCTGATGAGCACTGAGCAAATCTAGGGTGTCATAATGAGCAGAAAGAACTGATGGCAGCATCAGCACCTTCACCTCTTTTTTTGCAATAAAACCTACTAAAAGAAAACATTGGAATTCATCCTCAAGCTGGTAGGAAAAAAGCCCCAAGAATCCACACAAAACCCCAAAGTCTCTGCTAACAGCAGGTTTGCTGAAAAGTCACACTGCACTTTGTTAATACATAGGAGGTCCCTTGACATCCAGGAATTACAAAGCATCAAGCATCTCCCAGCTAACATTTATCAGCATGGCAGGAGATGTCCCAGGAACATTTTTCATTTCACATTTCATTTCTAACTGGAAAAGCTAGACAGGGGCTGAGGAAGAAGCAAAGCAACTTTACTCCACTAATTTCCACAGGTGCCACCTTCTACTCTGGACCAGCCCAGAAAATATCTGTCATGTGCAGCAAACAGCTCAGGGGCTGCAGCACAATATAGCTAGAGAAATAACTGTTTTATTCAAGTATGGGTTAAAAAAATGCTACATTCCATTTCCTGCCACATCCACGATGGCTGACAGAACAGACTGGTATTTCTGAATTACCTCCATAGACAAAGGATGTGGTTGACAGAATTACAGACTCTACTTCTTTGGATTTCCAGCATGGAATGCTTCACAAAGACTTGCAGAAGCATTCTATGAAAATGTTGCACTTCTCCAAGTTTTTCCAGACTAAGTAATGGCAATGTAAAACACATGAGAAGATACCTCTAAATAACCAGAACAAAAAGCTCTGCATTGTCAACTTTCTCCTTTCTTTACAAGGAAGATGACAAGATTGACAGAAAAGCTGCAATCAGGATACAGGCTGATGTTAACTACATTCAGGTGAAATGCCAGGCGAAATTATATCAAAGAAAAAAATGTTCTGTTTGTCTAAATTCATTTTAGCTCCTAGTTTAAGGCTCCCTTCCTTTGCTTTCTAACAGGAGAAGCAGAGCAAGTGGAAGCACTATGTGAAATACAGAACTGTAGCATAAAACCAACTATAATTTTATCTTGGGATTGCTTCAATACCAAAGCTTCAAGAGAATTTAGTTAATGTATGGTTTTCACTTGATGTGAGTGGCAAATTTAGAAAGAAATTATGCTTCCTCTTCCCCCCATACATGTAGTCCCAAATAAACCCAAATGCAGATTGTATGCACCAGTGGGATTTGAAGGGGGAGTAGTGAATTTGTGTTCTAAAGAACCTCAAATGCCCTTTCTCCAGTAAAAATTGAAGACACCTAAACCACAGCAGCCTTAGGAAAGTTAAACACTTGAATGATGTTTTCCAGGATACAGGACTTACACAGCAAAGATGACAGAAGTTAAATCAACACAATATTAATAATTATTATCCATCAGTGTCAGAACACTTTTCACAACCAAGCCTTAGGCTGATGTGCAAACACACAGCCAGATTTACTCTTCAGTGTGCCACAAGGAAATAATTCCTTATGCACCTGGCAAACAAGACAGCAATTTATATTATCCCATTTATGGAGTGATACTTGAATCATGTCTTAAGAAACCAGCAAGAGAATATTTGATTTTGGAGCAGTGGAATTTGATGCTATATAGGGACATTTCCCTATATATACTTTTGTGCATGAATAATTAGAGAAAGCCCAGCAGTGTCTCAGCTCTCCAGCTACCCTAGATGTTAATTATAAATACTGATGGAGCAGGAGCAATGTACTGATTCCAGTCTTATTTAGGCTGCTGCTGGAAAAAGTTAAATACAAAAGATATTCAAACACTTATTAAGACAATACCCACTCTACTGGCAACACAGGTTGTCTGCTCGCAGTTCAGCTCTTAGGAATACATCTATTTAACTCTGCCAGTTTGTGAGTCATACCCTTCAAGGCATAGTTTGTTCTTGGACTAATAACAATGGAAGGCATTTGGATTGTTAAGGAAACTACTAATTATGCAGTAATTACCATAGCCAGCTGGCGTCCTATGTTTCCTACAGTCACACCTCCTGAGAAAAATATACATGGAAGCCAAGAACGGATGTAAAGGAAATCTGGAGATGTATACCTAGAAAAGAAAAGAAAGAAGTTAGAAAGTTAGAGACTTTCATCATCTTACATACTGTTAGTCAGATGCTACAGAATTCTCTCCCTGGGCTGAAACAAAAAAAAACAAAAAACAAACAACAAAAAAAAGCAGCAACAGAAGAGATGGAAATTGGGAGTCCAAATTAGATCTGTAAACTTCATAAGCTTCTAAACCCCCATGTTCTAGCCAGTAAAGTTTAGAAGTTCACTCTGCTGAGAGCCAGTAGAAGTTCAGTTTTCTGAGGTTGTTACCATTTCAACACACATCCCAATTCATCTGCTCCCCACCTTCCACCCACAGCTCTCAGTCTGGGCATTTGGAACAACTAGACCACTACCTTACACAAACAAAGCATCTTTTTCTAAGAATGTGCCAAATATGTTAACAACTAAACTCCAGTTCATGTGCACCCACGCTTTTAGTTAAGACAAGAGAATTGAAGTAGTATTTTAGAAGCATAACTTACTGATAAACACCATTATATACAAGAAACTGGGTTATCAGTGTTGCTACAAAGGCTATTGTTATTCCAAGTCCGAGACCACTTCTTGAACGATCAAATGTCCACCAAAGCCCCAGTGATAAGGCTGCCAGAGTCAGGGACAGCTGGACGTTGTTTGCAAAGTCTAGTTTCTGGAAAAAGATGTTAAGGACAGTCCTTTTTAAGTCTGCAGACATCCTGTTGCTGAAACTGAACAAGGGAGAACTCAAACTGAAAGTGAGCACAATTCTCTGTCTTTAAATACAACACAATTAGGATTTGCTTTTCAGACCTGCCAAGCAATCATAGCTCGTTAACTCTGACTGGAGCATGACTGCGAAGTCAACATCGATTTTTTTTCACACTGAGCCTATAGAGAATAAGCTACATTTCAAAACATTTAACTTTGATGGATTATTGTCTCAAGTAACCTGGGTAATCCAGCTGACTTAGGTTTTCTGCGCAAGCCACCACATTTTAACATAAAGAACACTCTTATTTTGTGCTTCTCACTAGCACATCACTAGTTAGTTGTGTTAACTTTTAGACATAGACAAGATATAGATTAAAATAAGACAACTTACACTGTCAGGCTTGCAGTTATACAAGACATACATGATGTCAATCCCTCTCCCCTCCCATAGCACTTTAAGTGAGCTGTGTTAAACATGTGACAGTAGCCACTGCAGTGTATAGCAGAACTTCTCACAGAACTTCTCTGCCAGGAGCACCACCCTTACCTTCACAATTCTCCCCCAGACCTGAGTGGCAGAGACAGTTTGCTGAGCACAGAGTAAGCACATGGAGCAAACACTAGCTGAAGGATACAGCACTGGCGTGGTTGATGCCCACGAACACTGCGATGCAGCGCATGACGCTGGCCCACTCCCGCTTGAACTTGTGGGGCTCCCCGAGGTGGCTGTCGATGCAGGGGTACAGCAGGCCAACCACAGCTGCAAGAGAAGGAACACCACTTGTATCAGCTGCTAGGCAATGACTACTCCTGTATCACTAAATATTAGCTTGCCACTAAAGTGCTTGAGAAAGCAGCAAGGTGCTCATCACACCACTCTAAGCCTGATGAAGAAAAGGCAATTATTACCAACCTTTTCTACTCTAGAGAAGTAAAAACCCCTGTCTAACTAGCAGCATTCTCTTTGAACATTTAAATATACACTGCATTGTTAAGGTATCTGACTTGAAGCTCCTTTTGTTTAAAGAGATTTGTCATTTGACATCCTGAGCAAATGCTTGTACCAATAAAAGTAAAGCATAATAAAAGCTTTGTGAGGAGTGGAATCTGTGTTCATTACTCACGTGCAGGGCTGACAGCTTTATGAACGTGATTCATCAGCTGTGAATCAGGTCCTGAATTAAATGTTTGCCTGGACTTAAAAGTTTATTAGCAGAGCTGCTTTCTCTCCTTCTGCTGGGCTGTAAGTCAGCCCAGTGTTCCTGTCCACGTCAGATGAATTTTGATACCAAACAGAAGCAGAGCTGAAGTTAAACAAGCAGCTGCCATCAGTCTATTTATATCAGAGAAAAATAACTACTCATATGATTAACCAAACCAAATTTTTATCTCCATAAAGCATTTTTCAGCCTTATCAATCTGAAAGTTGGTTGCAGAAGAAAAACTCAGGCTAGTGTCAGCTCAGTTGCTAGCACAAACACCAGTTTTATTATTCTAGGGACTGAAACTCCCAGTGTTGTCACCAACTCCAGGGTTAGACATGTTGCTTTTACTGAGTGCAACTTGTTTATTGTTTATTAATTTCATTTCCTGCTCTTTTTTAGTCTCTTAAACTCCTAAGAGTAATAAATTCTATGTTAAGAAGGCTATAGAACATACTAGTCAAAGACAGATGTGTTCTGAAACAGCTTCATTACTCTGATGCCAGCTACCAGGACTTTTGCCTTATGATAACAACTAAATTTCAAAGTTTAATCCAACTCCGACAGGACTATGAGAACTCTCTTTGGAGAATATCCCAGGCCATCATTTTACTACACAGTTCATTATTCATTCAAGTTCATGGTTTATCATTCCTACCCCCTTCACTGTGTGATACAAACAGACATCACATAACTACATTAAAAATATGCAGGAGTTGTTTAAAGTACCTTCAACGTAAATTAAAGACTATTACGGTGGGTTTATTTCCTAAAATTTGACTCCTTTTTAATCCTCTAACCCTTCACCTTTACAGTTTTGTCTAGACACGGACTAGGGGAATTATGAATGATAAAGCACGAGGCATGTGCCAGCTGCTGCGACAACCACACCGTGGCCTGAGCCTGCTGTGGTATTTGTCCAGCAGCGGGTACGGGCGGGCAGGGGGCAAGGGCCAGGCAGGTGACAGGGGCAGGAGATGGGGACAGCGAGGTGACAGGAGCAGCAGGCAAGGCACTGAGAGCAAGCAGGTGATGGGGCAGCGGGCAAGGAGCAGGCAGGTGACAGGGGACAGACAGGGGACAGGTGTAAGGGGCAGCAAGAAGGCAGCTGATAGGGGTAGTGGGTAAGGGGCACCGGGCAGGGGCCGGGCCGGTGACAGGAGCCGGTGACAGAGGCGGGGGCCCGGGCTGAGGGCCCGGGGCCGGTGACAGGGGCGGGGGCCCTGGTCCAGTGACA